ACACACAGAAGGGAAAAATCCTTCCTAGTTTTAAAGCACAGTAGTTTTAAGACAATCTCTTCCACTCTTGTCCCCTCTAGATGGCTTTAGATGACAACTTCTAGCATTCTTGACCATTGGCCATGCTGACAGGGGATGATGGGCATTGGAACTGAGGCCATGAGTTTAGAAAAGATTGCAGGCTGGTCCTAATGCTCTGTGTTCACTCAGTGTTAACAAAAGTTCACTTGGTAATTTTAACCAGTTTCAGGGGTACACATTTATGTGGATTTTAGGGGCTGTCAAAATGGAAAGAAAAGGCTACCTTCCATGGCTCTTTGAGAACTGTAGGATTTTTCTTCGTCCAAGCATGTTTAGAACTGCTTCCTAAATGACTTGGCTGATTAATCAAAGATTACCTGAAGATTTTTTTTTAACCATTAGGCAGTGTATAGGTTGCAGAGCCTGGAGCAGAATAACCAGTTCTTACTGCTTTGCTATTTCCCTTGCTGGATGTGGAAGGAAAAATTCACCTGGTTCTGGAGGCCTATGTAGTAAAAACAGCTATTCCAGATGCAGAATTGGTGTTACTCCCCGGCACAGAATTTGCAAAAAAGAGAGGAGAAAGAAGGATAATCTGCAGGGGGAATTAACTTGACTAGCTGCAGGCTGCTTAAGAAGAGAGATTCTCTCCCCCCATTTAGAGTAGCAAGGTCATAATTACCTTTGTGCATCAACTGAGAAAAGAGTGCATTGAAGAGCAGTTTTAAACACATAAGCTCCTTTGAATGGGTAAATTGGGAAGAGTAAAAGCCGCTGTTTTCACCAGATTGCATGGAAATAAGAAAGGAAAGGGGCAAGAGATGACCTCGAGTGTCAAGTAATTGTCCGTTGCCCTGTGGGTTGACCCATGAGGTTGCCCACAGATGCTCCGGACTCTATGGGAATCCAAAAGCAAGAGCACTTGGGGCTGGCTCATTATTTTGCCCGGGCTTGAACTCTGGAGTTGCAAATTCTTCCCCTTTGTACCATTCCTACCCAAACTTCAGTTGCATTAGAAAACTTGTTAGCGTAGGAATGCCTGCCTAGCATTCGACTAATGCATATTAGCATATTACTAATGATTTATTAAACAGTAAACTCTGTAGTACGCTGTGAGCAGATGAATTTCAGAATGAATGGTGTGCTATTAAAGCAGGTGACACAAACATCATTTATTTTGAAGAGGCTTCCTGGGTAAAATTCCAGTGTTGTGCTGGGTTAAAGTTAAACCATGTGAGGCCTGAACAGCAAAACTGCCAGCACAGTTGACAAAGCTCTTAACTCCAGTAGCTAAACCCCTGTAGAAAAGCTGGAAGTACGCCCAGTGTTTGGGGGGTGGGGGAGCAAAGGGGTGGGGCTAAGAAAAGGGGCGGGGCACCTGCAGAACCAGTTCGACACTCTTATGTTAAGGAACTGAATTATTTGGGGGTTCTGTGCATTCAAAGAATGTAGAAAGAATCTACCCATCCAAGGAGTCTGCCTGAAGCATCTCTGCATGAGTCATGGCTCTGGGCCTTCTTTCCATCCATTTCCCAGTGTGGTCCATCTCTGCCATTAGGTACGTGACAGAGGGACCCAACTGCTTCCAAACACTGGTGCAGGCAGTGGAGGCTGGCTATCTTTGTGAACCTGCTGCAGGTGAGTTCATTTTTTGGTCTTTGCAAGAGGTGAGGTAGTGCCGGCCTGATGGGAGAAGCTCCCACTGTGTTTCTGCATGAGTGTCTGCTCTCAGGTCACCCTTCCACATCATTAACTGCTCATGTGCAAACACCCGGCAGTGCAGTTTCAGAGATGGATTTTTCCTTGGTGAGAGTAAACCTCTGCTGGACACACCCAGCTAGCCGAGGTTTGCCAGCCCAGTGTGGAGTTTTGCCCTTGGCTTGTTCAATTGAATGTCTAAGCACGCACAAGCAGCATTGCCAGAGCCAGTGCCTGGAAGAGGTGTAGATTTGTGAGAACCGTTCAAAAGTGTAACTCCCCTTTCTGTGTTTGCTTTACCATGAATAAAGCCCGTACCGGCTGCATTTCAGGCCCTGCAGCCCGATGGCCCATCTAATGGGCCAGAAAGGAGCCGGTGAAAGCAGTAGAGGCTGGAAACCAGCGCCAGCCGTGGGTCAGAGAACCCACAGGAAGTGGAGTTGCACATGCAAAGCTCTCCTTCTAAAGCCCGAATGCCCCAGGGAGGGCCCAGGGGGTACTTAGCTCAGGGTCAGTACAAAGCCCTGTCAAGCTCCTATAATGGAGCGCTGTCCATCCATGGAAATCTGCAGGAAGTCATTAGAGGAGATGGGCTCATCTTGGGTGGCCGCTTGGTGTGCGTACAAAAGGTCCCCCTTCCACCAGTTCTTCCATTGTGTCTGTGCTTGAGACTATTCCTAAATGTATTTAGGAGGGAACAGCTGCGCTGAAAACCACGGTATTTGCATTCTCGGTAACTCTGCATAGTTTAATTTTGATGCTTTTCTTGTTACGTGCTTTTTTATTTATCAGGTGGCAGCTTGACTACTTTCCACAAAAAGGTGGAGTATAAATAATGTTTTTGCCATAATAACTAATAGTACCCAGTGCAGACCATTTTCTCCCCCCATGGCAAGCCCTTGTTTGTTTGCGTTTGTTTTAATTCCATTTCTATGCCGCCCCATAACCCAAAGGTTCTCTTTGTCAATTCCTTATTCCCGCTGTTGAGACCCTAAAAGAACCAGAGCCACACTTATTCACTTCAGGAGGAAAATAATTTTTAATTAATGGAAACAATTTAGGATTCCAACCATCTCTCAAAGACATCAAGTCACTGGACGACTAACTTTACAGGTGTCTGTGGGAAAATCTCGGCAGCTCCTGGCGCAGAGAAACCAACGATGGGGACCCTATAAGCATCATTAATTCCCATTTAGTCCCTCCCTTTCCACTAACTCCTCTGTCTAACCACCATTCCCATGCCATTGGTGGAAGCCCTCCTAAAACCCCCACTGCTCCCCATAAAATTACATATTTTCCCCTTAGGCAAACCCCTTGACTCATGCCCCTGTTCCCACAAAAAAAAAAAAAAAAAAAGGATCCCTCACAGAGGCCTAGCATTCTGTTTAGGCTTTCTCCCTGGCCTCATGCCTGGTGAGTGGCCTTTCTGGATGCACCCCAAAGCTTTTGGGTCCCCTCACTTTCTTTCCAGCAGCATCCACCTTTCATTAAACCCTCTGTAGCTCAGACCAACACTGTACAAGTCAGAAACGAATCCTCAGACAAAACCCATCACAACAAAAGAACTGCCAACTTGGATACGGTTGATAATTCCACCAGAAACGATGGAGGAAAGTAGCCATTAAAAAGGACATGATTACACACCCTCACATTGACGGAGAGAACGACAACTTCTACATTAGAACTCCCATGTTTTATGTCCCAGTTTCCATCTCGCCCAAGCAGAAGAAAGGGTATTCAGTCCCCTTCAACCTGCCAGCACCCTGGCTGTTTTCTTCATGTGTGTGAGTAGCTAGTCTTTTGCAAAACTAGCCCCTGTGAAAGGTTATTTGAGCATTCAGGGAGAAAGAAGCCACCTCTCCCAGCCTCTCTGGGAGCACAGTTGGATCCTGAAGTGCTCATTAAATAGCGAAAAGTATACCCCTCCCCCATCCCGCCCACACAATAATAAACCCATCTCATGCTAACAAGCACGCCTCCAACATGACTCCACAGTTTCGGATATAATTATACATTCATTCCCTCTGGAAGTGTCCCTGGAGCTTTTATTCATGCCCTTAACGTCCATCCTCATAGAAATATACCCCTGGAAGGGTTCTGGGAGAGCATCTGGTCCAACCCCAAATGACCACCCAACCTCCGTTTAAATCAATCCAGTTGTTACCCTTGAGAAGTTCATCCTAAGGTTTAGCAGAATTCTACTTCCTGGCCAGTTCCACCAATCGGTTCTGGCCTGGCTGCTGAAGACCAGTCTCTTCTTTCATCTGTGGGGCAGCCCTTCAGATATTGAGAAAATGCAATCATGTTTTTCCTTTGTCACCCCTTCTCCAGCCTAAAGGGACCCAAAGTGTTCCCTGGACCCATTCCAAGGCACCCAACAAATGCACAACTCTACCCCAAGTTTGATAACTTTCAGCTACAGTCAAATGGCCAAAGTTACATGTATTCTATATAGCTCTCTATATTCTATTTTTCCTCTCCCCACACTTCTCTAATGGTGTGACTTGTAGGTTTTTGTATTGCACAATTTCAAAAACAGTAAAAGCCATAGTTTTTCAATCGATCAGCATTCGCAATGCAGGGACTAGCTTGTGCGTGTATCACACAGTTCTGCATTTGTCTTGTGTCTGAAGGTAGAATTCAACATCCTAGCAATCTCTCAAGTTTCTAGTCCTTATGACTACGATGGCATGCTTGGTGGAGACTCAGATGCTGGCAGAACTAGACTCCCAGCCAGTGAGGAGGTGAGCATTTCTGTCCTCCGTGTGCCTTCTTGTGGCAAAGCAAGTAAACCGAGCAGGTCCCTTCTTGGATGGCTTGGTGGTGGTGCCTTTGCGGGATGAAGAGCGGCGTCCTTTTGGCCGCTTGCTTTTCAATGCAATGCCTGCACAACTTGGGGCACCACCCAATCTGGTGTGGCCCTTTTGTGGTCTGCCACTGGGCACACAATCCTTCCACCCATTGCATGACCCGTTCTTGTCCCGGGAGAGGGACACCTGGAGAGTCTTGCCTTGACAGACGGTTCTTCCTTAAACCCTTTGGGACAACCCAGCCTTTCCCTTTCTTGTTCCCTTTTCTCTTCCACTTCCCACTGGAACACTAAAATATTTACAGATTCCCAACTTGAGTCCAAGACAGAGAGAAAACATCTTCACTCATCTCCGTGAAAGAGGTCGGCTTCAGAGTTAAGTTACCCCCACTGAGGGAGGACACTTCTGTAGAAACATGCAACCAGCGTAGCTCTGAGGAGCACCTCAGGTGTAAACTCTTTCTGGGTGTTTGAATTCCAACTTCACTCCCCCAACCTTGCTGGTTTCACCATCAGTCACTGGGGATGAGCCATGGGCTTTCCTTAAAACCACCAGCCGCTGGATCCACTGGAAGCACCAACGTTCCTTCAGAAGCTTCTGTCGCCAGTAAGGTAAGATAATTCTGAAGTGTGAGGACCAATTTCTTGGCTAAAACAGTCATACGAAAAGCTCCCAGAAGATTAGTCTTTCTAGGAGACTCCATAATTTCACCATGGTTGATGTTGGATCCAACACCACTGTCCAATTCTTGGGAAACAGTCCACTTTGGACATGATTGCCCCAAAGACCACCATCCATATCAATTTCCTGGTTTTTTCCATTCGGTCCATTCCATCCTGGTGTGGCCGGGGAAGCTAGGCGAGCGGGATTACTCCTTAAACCTCCGGTTAGCTTGCATTTTCTTGTAGAAGTTTTCTGTCTCTTCTGTTGGTCCATCCTTCTCCCCCACAGTAAGGCTGGTTGGCTTCCTCCGCAGCGTCGACTCCCGGCTGGCAGCCCCCAGCACATTTTCTGCAGGGCTCGTCTCTGCCGAAACCAGCGCCGGGCCTGCGCCCATGCCTGCCGAAATATTGATGGTGGCCACGCTGCCGTACGGAGGCTCGTCCCGCTCGATGTCGCTGACCGAGGAGCCAGGTGACACGCCGGCACTCTTAGCGGGCCGGAAGCCACGATAATCCTTGCCCATCTCGTTGAGCTCATAAGCGTCTTGGCCATCAGAACTTTTCTGGGCGGCCTTCCACTCCCAAGGGCCGTTCCCAGAAGACAAGTGCACGACCGGGTGATGCGGGGCATGCGCGTCGATGGTGACGACGCTGGAACTGTCTCTCTCTGACGGAGAGCGGTACTGGGAGGAGTCCGAGCTGGTGGACGAGGAGGAGGTCTCAGATTGCTTCGGCATGACCGACACCATCCCTGGCTGCTTGGACATTGCGATGACCTGCATGAGGCGCGGGGGGTTGCCCACGCGCTGGGTGGCCCCCTTCTCCGCCATCATCATCCATTTGGCCCTCACTGCGGAGCTGCTTTTGGGCGAGACGTTGGCGCCCGCGTTCGCCTGGCTCTCCTCGGGGATGTGGACCAGTTGGGTTGCACCCGGTCTTGGCTGGATGAGGACCCGTGGTCCCATAGAGGCCCGCTCGGCAGTCCGAGCCTGGACAGTTGGGTACAAGGCCGGTGGAATGGGTTCTTCTTCATCGCCGGCTAAAGCATCCGAGCCGACCCGTCGGGCCACTTCCTCTGCCAGGGTCATGCCACGGCCTTCCACCGATTTCTGCTTCCACTCCGTGATCAGCTGCTTTGATCGGGAGGCGTCCACGGGGACGTGGATGGTCATGTGTCGGCGGGCGGGGTCGTCCATGGAGGGGGTGTTGACCCTCGGCAGCGTGTTGCTGAAGGTGACCATGTTCTCCTTGCCCATGGGGCTCCGGGGCGCCAGGAGGTCCACGTCCACACTGGCCCGCTTCAAGCTGCCCAGCGAGTTCTTCTCCCGCTGCACCTGCCGGTTCATCCCCTCCAGGCGGGTCTGGGGGTTGAGCTCGTCCGTGCTGACGGACTTGTTCTGGTGATAAACGGAGTCGTGGCCCCGCTGTGTCAAGGCCCTCAGGGCATCCTTGGTGGGGGGGTTGGAGGGGGCCTTCTCGGTTGGCGCTCGGAAGTTGCCCACGGCATGGTATGCCTGTATGCCACAGAGAAGGTGGCAGGTAAAGGTGAGCACACGTACTTCCGGAATGCAATCTTCTACATGGCCTAATAAAGGTATGGATGTTACAGCTATTCTTGCGGAGTCATTTTTCTGTGATGGTAGAATACCATATTTCGCTCTCCAACAGCAGGGCCCTATCCTGGAGCAAAGATGACCTACACTAAGACTAAGGACTAAGATGACTTGTAACTGTACTCCAAGAAGAGGTCCCCGCTATTGCTAGGCACGACTACCAAATCTGGATTCTCTCGAAACATTTTACTGAGATACCTTCTAAATTTGTCTCCAGTTTTATGAAGACAAGCCTAGGTTGAGCTTTCCTCAAGTTCCCACCAACTATGATCCTCACTTGATTCCTCCGAGCGGGGCGGCGGGGGGGGGGAGACAATTTTGAGCCCACACCTGCCACTTTTCTCTTCCCAGTGGTTCCAGGGCTACTAAAGCTGTCACATCCCCTGAGTGACTCCAAGCTTTCTTTTTTCAAGCTATGCCGTCACCCTGAACCTAAACATGCCCTCGACCTTTTCTGTCCCTCCAGGCCTTCTCGCTCCTGCTATTAACTTGCTTGTTGTAACATCTTTCCCTGTCAAGGAAATCTGCAGGTCTCAAAAGCTTGTATGTTTTTGTGATCTTTAGCTGACTTAATAATGACTTGTACAACAGGGGCTGTGGAAATTTTCTGATGGGCCACCCCATCTGTGAACCAGTTAAGAAAGAATGCAAATACATTTTCTTGACATCCTATTTCAGTTAAGTAAACAGCATGGTTAAGCACACTGGAACAATGTTGTGTGTGTGTGTGTGTTGATTCAATGATCCAATGCTTTCCTGTATTAAAAAAGTTACAAATTGTAGAAGTTAGCCTATTAAGGACAGCAATTCTAACTTGTTCATGTTCTTGACATGTACCTTGGATTTTGACACATCAATTACAATCATTCTGTTCTCCCTACCTGTATTTCCAACTGATACGGGCTCAAAGAACTCTCCCACGCAGCGTATCAGACTTAAAGGTCACATCATCTGTCTACCATTCTCTCCCAGTCTCCAACCCCACAGGAGGTCAAAAACTAGAAACTTACCAAATAAGCTGCGATGCCTGAGCCAATCAGGAAACCCACATAAACGTCAATGGGGTGGCTGCGGTACTGGGTGATTTGGGTCAGTCCACAGATCCCAGCTGCAATGGCGAAAGCAAAGACTAGGATTGGCTTGAGGAGCTTGGTGCTGTCCGAGATGATGGAGTTGAAATACATCTGCAAATAAGACGATGCTGTTGAAAGCTAAGTCTCGCTCGCAGTGAGGCTGAGAATCAGCTCATGCAGCTCTCCTATTTTGCTATCCCTGTGGCCCTGCAGGGGTGCCAAAAGCAGCCCAGGAAGGCGAAAAGGTAGGATGAAGGCTAAGGCCTGGGTGGCAGGTGTCAATCTAGGCATGAGATGGAGAAAGACTTGAGAAATTTCTCCCAAGAAATGAGAGCCTCGGATCATGGGAAACGGAATGGTGATAGATCTGGGGTGGGCAAAACAACACCCTTCTTCACCCAGCAAGAATTACTCAAGGAATTTAATGCCAGAAATCGGTGATTGTTGGTGGCGACTGGTACGGGTGGGCATAAAGGGAGATCAAATGGAATCGGGAACAGAAGGTGTCTTTCAAAGTCTCTTTCCTACAAGAGCTTAGTGGATCCTCCATATTCGCAGGTAGTCTAGCTTTGCAGAGCCACTGATTGGGGCAAACCACAGGGTAGGGGTGTTTTTCTTGCCTGGCTTATGGGTTTTGCCAGAGGTATCTGGCCATGTAGGGTGCAGCAACATAGATTTTGGTCCAGGAGGGCTTTGTTTGATGTTCTTCTTGCGGGGACAGGAGAAAGGAGAGCAAGAAAGTAGTGCATCAGAAAACTAGATCAAAATAGGTCTACAAATTGGCTGGTTAGGCTGTGGGCGGGCGGGGAAGGTTGCAAGCATTCACAATTGACCTATGCTTTCTTCGGTAAGTGCTTCTCTGACTCACATGCCACTGATTTGAAGTAAACAAGCATGTCTTTAGTTACTGATGGAAAGCAGAATGGAGGAGGGGGTCTAACAACCTTTCTCCAAGCAGTGCCGTTTTGTTCCTTGGCAGAAACGCCTTGCCAAGCAGCCCTGCTCTTGGTTGCCCTGGGCAATAAGCAAGCCAGTGAGAGGAGGAACTTACCGACACGTAAACGGCAGCAAAGGCAGACAACGTGGCATGCTGGGAGGGGAACGTTTTCCTGAAAGGAAGGGAGAAACATTCACGTGTGTGTGTTGTGGGAGCAGGAGATGGCGGATCGATTCAGCAGTGGCAGTGAGGCTGGGAAGGACAGTGTGGGGCTGTCCGGAAGGACATCACAACCCCTTTTGGGGAACAGGACGAGTGGGGCTGATTTGGGCTGGTGGGAGACACACGGGTGGGATAGGATGCCCCCCAGATCTGGACCTCATGTCGGCATTCTTGTAGACTGTCCAGAGTCTGCTAAACCCTGAATATTCTGATCATTTTTCCTGGTGAACGAGGTGAAGTTCATAGAGGTGTCTTGCGAAGCCAGTGGGACGGGTTCAGGCTAAGCTGACTTCATCTTCAAGGGAATGGAGAGGGGGCAAGGGTCCAAAATAAGTCATCCCTCATCCACAACCTGATCATGGATGAGAGGGCCGACCTGGCTTGCATTACAGAGACCTGGGTGGGAGGGTGCCTCCCTCTCTCAACTGTGCCCGCCTGGGTACCTTATCCAGCACCGTCCACACCTGGAGAGGAGGGGAGCGGGGGTTGCTTTGATTTACCGAGCCTCCATCTCCCTCACGGGACTTCCTGTCCTCTCGAGGCCGGGTCTAGAGTGCCTCTACTTGGTGTTGGGCGACTGAGACAGACTGGGGATTCTGTTGGTGTACTGTGCACCCTCCTGCCCAGCAGACCCCCTGCCTGAGTGACGGAGACCATCTCGGACCTGGTGTTGAGGACCCCCAGGATGCTGGTCCTGGGGGACTTCAATCTCCATGCCGAGTCTGGACTGACCGGGGCGGATCAGGACTTCATGGCCTCCATGGTGGGCATGGGGGCTGTCTCAACACGTCATTGGCCCGGCCCATGAACGTGGACACACTCTGGACCTGGTTTTCTCGACGGGGCAGGAAGAGGGTGGTCTGAGGGTGAGGAATTTTTGTCTGACACCCCTGTCATGGTCAGATCACTTCCTGGTGAGGTTTGTGCTTGAGAGAGTCCTCTCCCTCTGTAAGGGTGCAGACCCGATTGTGTGGGTCCGCCCCTGGAGCCGGATGGATTCCTGAAGGCCCTGGGGGATTTCCCAGTTGATAAGGCTGGTGCTCCTGTCGAGGCTCTGGTCGAACTGTGGAATGGGGAAATGACCAGGGCTATTGACACGATCGCTCCCAAGCATCCTCTCCCACCTGGCAGAGCCTGTTCATCCCCTTGGTATACACCTGAATTACGGGCAATGAAGCGGGTTGGGAGACGTCTAGAGCGCAGGTGGAGGAAATCACAGGATGAATCTGACTGAACACATTTAAGAGCCCATTGACGGGCCTATGCTGTGGCGGTGAGGGCGGCAAAAAAGAAATTCTTCTCCACTTCCATTGCCTCCTCACAATGCCATCCGGTGGAGCTCTTTCGGGTGGTGCAGGGGCTGGTACATCTGGGCCCAAAGAAAGATCTCATGCCACCCTTGACGGCCCACTGTGACGACTTCACCAAGCATTTCAGGGAGAAAATTGCTCAGATTCGTGACGAGCTGGACTCTACTAGTGAATCAGAGCCTTCTGGGGAGGTGCCAATGTTGCCGTCTGGTCCACAATTGATGGATGAGTTTCAGTTGTTGCGGCCTGATGATGTGGACAAGGTGCTTGGACAAGTACGTCCCACCACCTGCCTATTGGACTCTTGCCCATCTTGGCTACTTAACAAGCCAAGCATGGGATAGGGATCTGAATCCTGGAGGTTGTCAACGCCTCTCTGAGGGGCGGCCGGGTACCTGCCCCTTTAAAGGAGGCAGTAGTCCGGCCAGTCCTAAAGAAGGCATCCCTGGACCCAGAGATGGCCACCAATTATAGACCGGTGGCCAACATCCCTTTCTTGGGGATGGTGTTAGAGCGGGTGGTGGTGGTGGGACAACTCCAGGCACTCTTGGATGAGACTGACCATCTGGACCCATTTCAGTCCGGCTTCAGACCTGAGTATGGTACTGAATCTGCCTTGGTCGCCCTGTATGATGACCTGTGCAGGGAGAAGGACAGGGGGAGTGCATCCCTGTTGGTCCTCCTGGACCTCTCAGCAGCTTTCGATACCATCGACCATGGCATCCTTCTGGATAGGCTAGCGGGACTGGGGGTTGGAGGCACTGCCCTGCAGTGGTTCCGCTCCTATCTCAACGGTCGATTCCAGAAGGTAGTGCTGGGGGACCATGTCTCTGCGTCATGGCAGCTATGCCATGGAGTACCGCAGGGGTCCATTTTGTCCCCTTTGCTGTTTAACATCTACATGAAACCGCTGGGAGAGGTCATCAGGAGGTGTGGGCTGCGGAATCATCAGTACGCTGATGATACCCAGCTCTACCTCTCGTTCTCCACCAATCCAGGTGAGGCAGTGGCTGTGCTGAACCGGTGCCTGGCCAAGGTAATGGGATGGATGAGGGCCAATAAACTGAAGCTCAGTCCAGACAAGATGGAGGTCCTGTTGGTGGGTGGTTTGGGATTTGGGGTAGGGGACCTGGACCTTGTCCTGAATGGGGTTGCACTCCCTCTGAGGGACAGAGTTCGCAGCTTGGGAGTGCTCCTCGACCTGGAGCTGTCTTTGGAAGCTCAGGTGACTGCAGTGGCGAGGAGCGCTTTCCTCCAGCTTCGGCTGATACATCAGCTGCGTCCCTACCTGGAGAATGACTGCCTGGCGACTGTGACACATGCTTTGGTAACTTCCCGATTAGATTTCTGTAACACGCTCTACCTGGGGCTGCCCTTGAAGACGGTCCGGATACTTCAATTGGTGCAAAACAGAGCTGCCAGGTTGCTGACAGGGACTGGGCATTGTTCTCATATAACTCCAGTCCTCCGTCAGCTTCACTGGCTCCCGATTGAAGTCCGGGCCCAATTCAAGGTGTTGGTTATCACCTATAAAGCCCTAAATGGTTTGGGACCTGGTTACCTAAAGGAGCGCTTGCATCCATATATGCCCTCCCACCTCCGGGAGCCCTCCGTGAAAGATATTAGGAGGGTGAGTACCTGGAGGAGGGCCTTCTCTGCGGTGGCGCCCCACCTATGGAATGCGCTCCCCAGAGAGGTCCGCCTGGCGCCGTCGTTATTTGCTTTTCGGTGCCAGGCCTTTTTATTTAAACGATATTTTAACTGTTAGTTGTTGTTATTATTTATTATACACCTGCCAAGATGTATCCAGATTTTTAAAAATTTTATTCAATATTTATTTGCTTTCTAAGCCGCTCTGAGGCTTGTTGCAAAGGGGGCAGCATAAAAATGCTTTAAATAAAATAAAATAAAATAAAATAAAATAAAATAATCAAATAAATAAAAAAGGAGCCTTGTTCTGACCCAACAGTTTAAGATGAACAGAGCTTCTTTTAATTAGCTCTGGGATCAGGGATGGAGGCCCAAATCCAGCCCACCTGTGATCCAAATGCCACCTTTTGGATGCCTTCATGGCATCGATTGTTTGGTGCTTTTTATTTATTTATTTATTTTATTAAAACATTTTTATGCCGCCCCATTCGCCGAAGCCTCGGGGCGGCTCACCTCTGGGCAGTTTTTCTTGCCTTTTATGGAATTTAATTCAGTCCTCAACATTATCAGTCTTGCTAAACAGACCCATCTGCCTGCGTCTTCCATATTCATCTGATTCCCATGAGGAACAATTCCACATGATGCGGAGTTTGTTACTTGGGTGTTTATGAGAAAGCTGCAGCTTGTTTGGTAAGCCAAAATGTTTCATTTTGTAATGCTTGGTGGATGTAATGCTTGTAAAGATGTAATGCTTGGTTGTTCCCATACAAGAGAAGGAGGTGCTAAAATACAGTATCTTATTTCAGACTACAGGAAGGGAAGTTTTTAAAAAATCCTGCAGGCAGAAAGCTAGCATCTCAAGGAGAAACTTGTGCCAGTTGTCCATCTGCAAGGATGCCTTTCTTTCAGGACATGCCTCCTAAAACAGGAAGCGGCAATTGCCTTGAACACTTCACTTTCGTTGCACAGAGCAGACTAACTTTATTCTATTGGCAAAGCCTCAAATCCTTGACAGATCCCTAAAAACTCGGTGCAAATTTCTGCAGGGCTAACAACATAATCACTTGATTTTAGAAACCGCAGGGGAGTGATATTGTCCCAGGTACACGGACACTGCCCGAAATTAGCAAGGTTGCAGGTGGAGGGAGGGGAGGGAGGGGAATTTCAATGCAGGTGGTCAAAGGTGGAGTGGGCTTACCTGGCTGAAAGGATGGCGTGTTGATCTTGCCCAGAGCAGATGTCTTGGGTGATATAAGGGTTGGAGTCACAGGAAATTCCCAAGAGCGTGTAGTTGGGCTTACAGACGGTCAGAAAGAAAGGGGCATGGTAGCCCGTGGCCAGCTGGATCACGTCGGTCACGAGCGCCGTGGCACAGAGGCCAAATACGTGGACTCCTGAATTGGGAGGCAGGGAAGGAATTGATTTTGGACCAGCCTGGGCCCTCCCTCCGCTGTGCAGCGTTTGATTCTGCAGCATGGGAAGGGCCAAACAAGGCTGCTGGGCCCGTGCAGAATATTTCAGCTTCTCTGGTGTGCAACTCCAGCATGCCATGTCTGAGACTCCAGGGGCTCCATCTGGAGATGCGGAGAAAGGGCACTGCCGGCTTTTTCAGAAACTGCCACGGGCGGGGTGGGGGTGCCTTTGCAAGGCTGGAGAGATGGGCAATCATTGGCAATTCAGCTCCGGGGGCAAGGAGGAGTCGGGTGACTTACCCACAAACCGGACCGTCCTGCGGAGGAAGGAGTTGAAATTGCAGCCGCCCGCGTTGATGCTTCCCTCAGAAGTCTCGCGGCCTTTTGTCTTGGGCTGCAAACAGTAAACAATTCCCTCGCCCACCATGATCTGGAGACCGGGAGAGAGACGGAACGGAGTCAAAAGCAAACAGTGGGCCAAAAGCAATTAGATGCAAAGCGCATCTGAGGCTTTTTAACTCTGGGGAAAAGAAGACAAAGGGAACGGCAGTCGAGAAATTAAGTGCGATGCAGAGAAATTGAAAAAATTGAAAAAGAGGTGGAAGAATTGTTCCTCTCATGAAATAGATTGGCATGCATCTTAGGAAAAGATTTCTGAACATGATGCAAAGTAGCAATAGAAGTGTGCTCTTGTTCATGAGCTTTAGCGTGATCGTGAGGTACGATGGTATCTTAGATAACGTTGGGAAACTGAAACCAGATCAAGAATTACAGGAACAGGCCACTGATCTTTCTTGGTAGCACCAGGTGCAAATATAATCCAGACATGCTAAAGATTATAGAATGCATGGTTTTTATAGGAACAAACAATGTTTGACCAAGCAATCTTAACACCAGATGAAAAAACGATTAAAAGATTATATAATTTTCTTTTCGATATGAGAATGGAAGATAAGCCAGTTAAGGAAACTGTGATAACATGGGCACAAAATTTTGGATATAATATTGAGCTACAGAAATGGCAAAAGCTGTGGGAAAGAAATATTAAGATAACTTTAGCAACTTCATATAAAGAAAATCTTTTTAAAATGTTTTATAGATGGTATTAGTCACTGAATAGATTAGCAAAAATGTTTTCAAATATATCAAACAGATGTTGGAAATGCAAACAAAAACCTGGTACATTTTATCCTATGTGGTGGACTTGTGCTAAGACAAAAAAATACTGGGTTAAAATACAGTATTTTACCGTTAAAATACATAAATGGCTTGAGGAAATGCTGCAAAAATCTTTAATATTCAAACCTGAAGTATTTTTATTAGGCATTATTCCTGATGATCTTGATAAACGAAGTATATATCTGATCTTACATGTAATTACTGAGGCGAGGATTGTATTTGCTCAGCATTGGAGGAAGGAAGAGCCACCAACTGAAGAGCTAAAAAGGATTCTGGACTGTGCGGAAATGGACAGACTGACTCAGTCTTTGAAGGAGAAGGAAGATACATATTTCTACCAAACTTGGAATTTTTTTATCATTGATTAGAGAAATAGGACTATACGTAGAATTGAATATGGTATTAACTTTAAGTAGAATAAGATGTCGACCCAGTATGTCTGATGCCTTGGGAATAATTGTTCTTTTTTCAGTTTGTATAGAAAATAATAAAAAAAAAATTGAAAACTGGAGAATTGTGCTGTTGTGAGATACAGCAACTGAGCAGGGAAGATGGAAAGTGGTCCATCATTTGTTCTTCAAGTCAGGTCAATACACATGCAGAGGACGTCTACCTCTGGATATCAATTGCTAGGGAGAAAAACAATAGAAATGGTCCATCAGTGCCAAAGCCTCCCTGTGGACTTCCCTCTTCTGCTTTTGGAAGGTTTGCCTGCTGGTTTTTACAGTACAGCTATGCTTGTTGGGAATGATGGGAACTGCACACCCTGGGAAATGTGGAGAAAGAGACCCCTTATGGGAGAAAAGCATTGGAAGTGATCTAGGCAGAAGCAGGCAAGAAGAGCTTCAGCAGGCTGCTTTTTGATGCCCGAAGAAAACTGAGAAAGGGGGAAGGCCTTGCCGAAAGTCTCTTTTTCTTACATTTTGAAACGAGCTTTTGTCCGTTGGCCTGCCGCAAATCAATGCGCTCCTTGGGATATAAATACCATGGAATACTTAAGAGACAGGAAGGGGGCAGCAAGCCCCCTGAGCTACTCACAGAGGCTGCGGGAGCCGCGAACGCCAGGCTCAGCAGCATTAGCAGCGGGATCATCTCTTCGTTGGTCTCCACGTAGGGCATGGAGAGTGCTCGGTCGTAGCACTGGAAGCCCACCTTGGCGGGCTTGAAGAGGTCCGTCAGCTCCAGGAAATAGAGAGTCACGATGGAGGACGCCACAATGGGCAGCTGGAAGCCAAGCCAGTAATGTGTGCTCAGGGTGGAGAACCAGAGGACGGTGGGATTAAGACACGGAAGCTTGTGGCCTCTGGGGGGGCAGGGGGGGCTCCTGCAGACAAGCACTCCAGAAGCATCCTAGTCTCCTGTTCTCCCCTGCAGAGGAGGGCAGGATGCGCTCCAACGGAGCAAAGCTCAGGGAACCAAGGTTCAGTCTGGATGCCAGGAAGTCCTTCCAGACAGTGAGGACCCCGAGGGTGTGGAATGGGCTTCCACGGGAGGTGGCTGAGGCCCCCTCGGTGCGGGTGTTCAAGGACAGGCTGAACATGCACATGGGGGGCACATCGTGAGGTAGCTGGCTGGAGCCGGGGTCAGACTAGATGGCCTGGGAGGCCCCTTCTGACTCGCTCTGCTTCTATGTTTCCGACGCCCAGCTGCAGGCTTTAGCTTCACAGGTTCCACCACCCACCACTGGTGGTGGAGCTCCTGGACCATCTCTGGCTTACCTCGACGAAGTAGAAGCAAGGGAGAAGGGTCATGCTGTCTTTGGGGGCCTTTGGCTTGTCCTTTGCAGAAATCATGGTGTCAGCAGTGGGTTTGGCGGGATGGGGAGTAGAAGGAAGCCCTCAGCTCAGGCCCTGTTGAGAGGCATGGTATACAAAAGGGCGGGGAACGCAGAAACGGCTATAGCAGGGGTTACAGAAACGAAACACAGATTCCAGAAATGCCACTTCTTGATCCAACAGACCGCTACGTAGAGCAGACAAGCAAAATCAAAGCTACTCTTTTCTCAAGCCTTATCTCTGCCGGCTGCAGCTTCACAGGTGCAGGAAAACGGGCTGCACGTCCAGGAGGAAATAACAGGGAGATCTGGGCAAAGGCCTTTCTGGAAATAAGCTTTTCCAGCTCTAAAGGGGAGGCTGCAAGGAGGGGGGCCCTTTTGTGGTGGCACCCCAATTCCAGAACACTCTATCACCAGGTGCCTAACAAAACTTCCTTTTCGGCACACGTACGGGAGCACTTAAACCGTCTATGCTAATAGCATTGGTTTACTATATTTGCATTTTTCTTTTACTCGACTGCACATATGGTGATTTGATCTTGCTTTATTTGTCGTATTTTAATTGCGTCTTTTTACTTCATGTTATTTATTGGTGCTTTGGTGGCCACCCAGAGAATGTGATTCCAGCAGGTGGCTTTCAAACACTCCAATAAATAAATAAACAGGTCAATTCCAGCTCGTGGTTCCCTCAAACATGCCAAGTTCCACGGATTGTTTGCTGCCAGCAATGGGTGCCAATTCAGATGGCCTGAAAGGGGTTTGGAGAAATTCATGGAGGAAAAACTGGCATTATCAGTGGCTTTCCAGGATTAAGGGCCAGTGGGCCTTGGTACCCCAGTTGCTGAATGGGATGCCAGGGGATGGCAAACCACTACGCCCATGTGTGGCTTTCTTGAGGGCTACCTGTTTGGCCACTGCATAACAGGATTCTGGGTTCGGTGGGCCCTTTGTTGGTCAGGCACGGCTCTTGTTATGAGTGGCTCTGGGGCTGGGGAAGTGGAAGCGTCTGAGGGTTAAGTGCATCCATCCACACACCCTGTTCTTGCTCAGGCCCAATCTTGGACAAGTGAGAGCATGGCTCAGATCAGAAATGGAGCTGGTCCCTCTCTCTGGAGGAGTGCCTGATTGTTACAGATCGCATTCGGGGGGCCCCAAAGGAACAGCGTTTTCCTTGGTGGCCCCCTTTCTGTGGAATGCCTTTCCCAGATCCACCTGGTACTTTCTCTGTATCGGTCTAGATGCCAGAATAAGGCCTGATTGTTACAGATTGTTACACCTATTCCAGCAGGTGTTTAATTTTTACTCTCTTGCCCCAATAATTCATTTTACTGCTAGCTCCTTAATGTTTTTTTTAAAAAGTATTTTACTGTTGTAGGTAGCAATCTTGTGGTACTTTCAGATTATGTTCTGTTTTTCTAGTTTTTGATGATGTCAGTCTGCCAATTGCCCACTGAGCTGAATACAAACCAACTGAATGAATATCCCAAGAATCCAGTTTTCTCCTGGGTAATCTAAGAGACAGAACACATGCAGTTTTGCCTTGCCCTGATTCTGGTTTTTGGCCCATCCAGCCTTGCTGTGCCTTGGCCAACCAGCATTGGCTCTCTGCCATCTGCCAAAGAGAGCGTGCTTTCTGAAAAGCTCACCCCATCACTACTTTTAAGATCATTTTTAAACATCCAAACTGGCCTTTGTTTTCGTTTCACAACCATCTTTTGAAGAATAGCCACCATTCTCTCATTTTTTCAAAGGAAAGCAACGAAGTCAGAACCAATGGCCTTGCTTCTCTAAAGCTACACATTCATTTTGGAGCCGAGTCAGGAAGCCTGGGTAGTAATTTAAAAAGAGAGTGCCTCAAAGCATGCATGGAGTGCATTTCCTTCCCACACGGTTTGGAAACCCATTCGTCTAGAACAGGGCAGAGACTGGTTTGTGCAGTTCAGCTCCTGGAATTTCAAGAAGCAACCCCTAAATCACTCCTTCCCAAGCACCATGCAGACACACAGCAGAAGAAGGCAGAAAATTCAGCCCTGGACAAGTAAGGCTTTGAACCCAAGACTTAGAGCTTAAATGCCATTTAATTTAAATTTCAGCAGATGACACTGGTGGTAAGGCATGCAGGGAAAGGGGGAGCCAACCAGGATTTTTACAAAGGCGGAACCTACGCAATTTTTTTAAAAGCATTTGTTCATCATTTTCAGGTTCCATCCACTTCATCACCTAGTCAGTGAGACAATTCTTAGGAACAAGGCAGGGAGCCCTTGGCTGTTAGTTCCAGCAGCCATAACTGAGAGATATACTTCCCTGGCCCAGGGAGGTTCCATTTTTCAATGTTAGCTAACAACCTACAATAGACCTCGCCTAGTCCATTCACTGCTCCTTTTAGCAGCAGGTCCCAAGTAATCCTGTCTTCTCGGCTACGGATTTATTTGGCATTTCAGCTTATGGGCTTTTTCAAAGCTACACGTGGCCTGCAACTCAGTACACCATTGGCATGATTTTCAATGTCTTTTCCTCTTTTCTTCTGCATGCCCAGAGCGCATCCCTTTGGAGACCACAATGGCTGGCTGTTGTCAGGGGAGGCTGAAATGACTGTGCCAGTCTCCCACAGTGGAAGAAGGCTGTGGGTCTCCTGATACCCCGCCCCGAGCCCCTAATACCACGAGTCGGTAAAGGGTGCTCATCAGGGGCCTTGCCTCGCCTCGCCTCGCCTCGCCTCAGCATCCCCAGGGAAGCTGGAAGCATCCCTCGAAACAGCTGTCTCTGGGCGGCGTGTCCCGGCCCCAGCGCGGGAGCGATTTGGGGGGGGGGGGGGCGAAGGGCCCCGTTTCCTTCGGGCTCCCCTCGCGCGCTGTGGCACGCGAAACCCGGTCCTTTGTCTGGGAAACCGGCTCGGAACGCCAAGTCCCGCTGGTGTGCGCCGCTCACGACGGGGAAAGGAGAAGGCGGGGTGACAGCGGGGCTGCAGCGGAGCACGGTCCCACATACCTGTCCCACATCTGCGCGGCCCCCCCACACCGCTGACGAGTCCGTGGCCGTGGGCCGGGTCCGTCTCCGGAGGCGCGGCGCGGCGGGTGGGCACCCCGCTGGACCCCCGCTCCCCCCCGCTCCCCCCCCCCGCTCGCTCGCTCGCTCGCGCTCCTCACCCCTTTTGTTGCGGCTGCGGGCGAAGGGGCATCGTTTCCATGCCCTGCCCTGCCGTGCGGGGGGGCGTGGGGGCGCTCGTGCGGCGAGGAGCGCGGTGCCTCCCTCCGCCCCGGCGGCTCTCTCGCCCACCCCCGGCCTCTTTTCTTTGGAGCGCGGAAAACCTCCGGTTTCCAGCGGGAATCCAGCGGGAGGGCAGCCGGGAATCGCGGCGGAGGGGCTCGCGCCTGCCCGGGCGGCGGAACGGCCACCTGCGCCCCGCCCTCCGCAAGGCGCCGAAATGGCTCGGATGCGCGGCTCTCCAGCTGCCGCCCGGAGCACAAAGGGGGGAGGGGAGGGAGGGGGGGGGGGGGGGGGCGGGCTCGGTCTGCGGGGGGCGGCGGCGGCGGCGGCGAGCGAGAGCCTTCCGTGCGCGCGCCGGTTTCCATAGAGAGCGCGCGGAGCTGCGGGGGGGGGGCGGGCGCCCGACACAAAACGAGGCCGGAGAGCCGGGCCGGCGGTCTTCTTGCAGGGGTCCGATCCCTGCTGCGCCAGGAGGGGCGCGAGGGCGGCCTCTGAGCATAAGCAGAGTACCCGCCCTCCCGCTCCTTCGCGCGATGCAGCCGAACCGCGCTTCCAGCATGCGCCCTCCTGGGGGAATTGCACGGAACGGCTGGGGATTGCCGTATCCCCGGACTTGTTTACAACGGGGACGGCTGCAACCTGGCTTTCCCCAGAGCCTGTGCAGAGTGCCCTTCCCTTCCTGATCCAAAATGTGGGTGATAAGGACCCGGGGTACTTCTGCCTGATTGCAAGTGACTCCTGAGCCTGCCCCGCCCTCCAACGTGTGGGACTACATCTGCCATCATCCCCAGGATGTATTTATTTATTTGTAAAATTTGTATTCCGTCCATTACTTCTATCTCTGGCCAGCTTACAACATTAATCAGAATAAAATAAATTAACTATTCCATGCTGGCTGAAAATCCAATACAATACAAACAATAAATATTTGTATTTTTACAACAATATATAAAATCCAATTAATACTTATTAAAATATTGATCAAATAAAAAGGTCTTGACCTGGCACCGAAAAACAAATAACGACAGCGCCAGGCGGACCTCTCTGGGGAGCGCATTCCACAGGCGGGGTGCCACCACAGAGAAGGCCCTCCTCCGGGTACTCACCCTCCTAATATCCTTCACGGAGGGCTCCCAGAGAAGGGCCTCTGCTGTCGATCTCAAGGGGCGGGAGGGCAAATAGGGAAAAAGGCGTTCCTTGAGGTATCTGGGTCCCAAGCCATTTAGGACTTGATAAGTAATAACAGCACCTTGAATTGAGCCCAGACTTTGATGGGAAGCCAATGGAGCTGGGAGAGGACTGGGGTTATGTGAGAATAACACCCAGTCCCCGTCAGCATCCTGGCCGCTCTATTGTGATCCATCTGAAGTATCCGGACTGTCTTCAAGGGCAGCCCCACGTAGAGCGCGTTGCAGTAATTACTGTAACAATTACTGCAGGGTGCTGCCACCTGTGATCCCACACATCTGGGTGGGGGAGCACCGGCCGGAGAACGGTTGGCCTGCCCCTTCTCTTCCCTGATGCAGAACTTCAGAGACATTCCCATGGCAGGGAACAAGTGGCTCTTGAAGACGAGGTGACGGACCCTGCCCCCATCCTGAATTTGGGGTGCTGGTTGCAGCTGACTTTCCTCCAGACTGATGGTTTTGCGAGTTTTTTTTTTCCTAGCCCGTTGCACGGCCGCAAGGTGGCGCTGTGGGATCACACCAAACCCTTTGAACCTTCGAGTGCAATTTATTACGGACGCCATAAATATTACTTCATTGTCCCGGTTCCAAGAAACAGTGGGGCAAGGCCACCGAGAAAAAGCAC